CAGCTCAGAGCCTGGAGCCTATTTCAGAGTCTGTGTCTCCCTCTCTCTGACCCTCCCCTGCTCACGCTGTCTCTCTCTCTCTCCTAGAAATAAATAAAAAATATTAAAAAAAAAAAAGACAAAAACTGTTACTCTCCAATATTATTGGATAAATATTAAATAAGATAATGCATATAAACCACCCAGTCCGGTGCCTGGCACAGATGGGGCTGTTGACATAATTAGGCCCAGAAAACCTGGGCATTTGCGGCGGGGGGCGAGGGGGGGGGAGGGAGGCTTCCTTTCTTGGTCCTTCTCCACTTATAGGACCCTAGCCGGCTTCTTCACGGCTAGCCCGCCACCACTAACTCAGCGTGAGAAGTCCCCACCGTAAAATTCTCAGAAATCATCATGGCTTTCTGTTCCACCCCTCTGTCTAGAAAACCAAAAGGGAAGTGGAGGGGCGTGGAGAGAGACAAAAGGAGTTGACACACGGCCCCAGCCTCCTGAACACACCTGGCTATCACGCCTTCACCATGCCCCTTGCCATGCCTGCGGCGACCTGTCCCTCCTGACCATCAGCCGCATCTCGTCCAGCCCCAGCCCGAACCCTGACTACCGCTGCCCAAAGGTCCATCTTTTCAAAACTCCGGCAGCACTAATTGTTCCCACTGTGTCCACATGGCAATTAGCCTGGGCCCGACTTCCCTGGGCCATGTTTCCCCAGCTGTCCGCAAGCTGGCTGGAGGCAGAGCCCGTGCACCCTACTTCTCTGGGTCTCTCAAAAGGACCAGCAGCAAGGCATGTGCCCCCACTGCCCCCACCTCCCACTCTGCTCGATGCCCTCTTAACTTTCCCACCCACTCACACCTCTCCATGTTTTCCTCACATGCTCACCTCCACGCAACCGCACCTACTGTTACCTCACCCTATGCCCTTCCTTGCCTACCTCTGCCTGTCCAAATCCTGCCCATGCCTCAGGGCCTAGCACAAGACAGCAGAAACAGCTCTTTGCAACTCAGAAGGACCTGCATTTAAATCTTGGCTCTGGGGGCACCTGGGTGGCTCAGTCGGTTGAGCATCTGACTCTTGGTTTTGGCTCAGGTCGTGATCTCATGAGTTCATGGGTTAGAGCCCTGCATCAGGCTCTGCCCCGACAGCGTGAAGCCCACTCACAATTCTCTCTCACTCTTTTTGCCCCTCCCTAGTGCCTGTTCTCTCTCTCAAAAATGAATAAATGTTAAAAAAAAAATAAATGTTTAAAATAATAATAATAAATAAATCCTGGCTCTGCCACCTTTCTGGCTGTTTGACAAGTGACCTCTCCCTCTCTGAGCCTCTTTGTTTCCTCATTTGTAAGATGAGTCACTAATAGCTACTGGCCTGGGGTGAAAATTTAATGAGGGAGATCACAAAGAGAACATGATAAATAAGTGCATGTCACTGAATCTGAAGACTTACATGAAATGGACAAATTCTTAGACAAATAATACTACAAGTGGCTTGGGGGAAAAAATAGGAAGTTTCAATAGTCCTTTACTCCTTTAAACAGAATTAGAAGTTTAAAATTTTTCCATAGAGGGGCATCTGGGTGGCTCAGTCAGTTAAGCATCCAACTCTTGATTTGGGCTCAGGTCATGGTCTCACAGTTCGTAACATCAAACCTCTCATCAGGCTCTGCACTGGGTACGAGCCTGCTTGGGATTCTCCTGCACCCACCCACACCCTGTCCCTCATGTGCATGTGCTCACTCTCTCAATAAATAAATAAAGTATTTCTGGAAAGAAAACGATTGTGTTATAGATAAATGCCACCAAACTTTCAAGGTGTTGATTATTCTAATCTTTCATAGCAAGGAAAAAAAAGAAGAGACCTCAGTGCATTTTACAAGACTAATAGAATCTTGATGCCAAACCCCAGACAAGGATAGTCAAAACATAAAAATCACAGGCCAATCCCACTCTGGAATACAGCTTTGAAAACTTAAACAGTATTATAACTATACCGAATCTAACAGGGCGTAAAAAATATAATGCATCATGACCAGCCTGAATGTATCCCAGGCATTGAAGGTTATTTTAACTTTAGAAAATCTAAAAATACCACTCACCTCATTAACAAAATAAAAAAATACATATAGGACAGTACGTGCAGAGAAACCACTTGGTAAGTTTAACGCCCATTTAAAGAAAGCTATTCACAAACTAGAAACTGAAAAGCACTTTGTTTATCTGATAACACATTTCTACCAAAAACTGTAGCAAACTTCATTCCCAGTGGTTAAGGTTAGAAGCATTCCCTTTGAAATCAGGAAAACAAGACAAGGATTTTTGCTATAACCACTTCCATTCGACACAGTGCCCGAGGCCCCAGCCAGTGCCACACAAAAAGACAAGAAAGAAAAAAAAAAAAGGAGAAATGAGACAGAAGAAACAGAACTGTCAGTATTTACAGACCCTTTGATCATACTCTGAAAGCCTGAAAGATTCTATAAATAAATGAGAATTAACAAATAAGGTTATCAAGGAGTATGGCTATAAGATCAATATATACAAATAAAAAATCATCTATTTTTCCTCTACAGGAACACTTAGAAATGTAATATCTTCAAAGCGTACCATTCGTGCTGGGGAAGACTGGACATCCACATGGAAAAGAATGAAGTTGGGCCCTTACCTCACACCATATACAAAAATCAACTCAAAATGGATCAATGTAAGAGCTAAAACTGTAAAACTCTTAGAAGAAAACACAGGGTGGGGGCGCCTGGGTGGCTTAGTCGGCTAAGCATCTGACTTCAGCTCAGGTCAGGATCTTATGGCTCATGAGCTGGAGCCCCCACATCGGGCTCTGTGCTGTCAGCGTAGAGCCACTTTGATTCCTGTCTCCCTCTCTCTCTCTGCCCCTCCCCAGTTTGTGCTTTCTGTCTCAAAAATAAATAAAAATATTTTTTAAAAAAATTTTTAAAGAAGAAAACACAGGCCAAAAGCTTTATCACATCGGATTTGGCAATAATTTCTTGGCTTTGACACCAAAAGCACAGGCAACAAGAAACCAAAAATAGACAAATTGGACCTCATGAAAAGGTTTAAAAATCTGTGCCTTAAAAGACACAACCCACAGAGTAAAAAAGTCAACCCACAGAATAGGAGAAAATATCTGCAAATCATATACCTGATAAGGGATTAAAATCTAGCATACAGAGAGAACTCCTAAAATTCTAGGACAAAACAAAACAAAACAAAACAATTCAAAAATGGACCAAAGGCGTGAATAGATATTTCTCCAAAGAAGAAACACAAATGGCACATGATCAACATGACGTTGATCATCATTAGGGAACTGCAGATCAGAACTACGAGATAAGACCCTGTACCCACTAGAATGGCTGTGAGCAAGAAAAACACAGAAAATAACAAGTGTTACAAGGATGTGGAGACGCTGGAGCCCATGTACACTAGTGGTGGGAACGGCAGAAAACTGTGGAAAACAGTGTGGTTGGTACTCAAAAATTAAAACTAGAATCGCCGTATGACCCAGCAATCCTGCCTCTGGGTATGTACCCAAAAGAACTAAATGAGTCTCGAAAAGGTACCTGTGCATGAATGTTCAAGGCAGCAGCATTCACGAGAGCTAAAAGATGGAAGCAGACCACATGTAGGTGGGTGGATGAATCACTAAACAAACTGTGGTACATCAAGGCAATAGAACAGTACTCAACCCTAAAAAGGGGGGAAAAAATTCTGAAAGACGCTAGAAGATGAAAGAAGCTTGAAAACGTTAAGCTAAGTGGCACAGAGCAGGCATAAAAAGACAGATGCTGTGTGATTCCACATCTACGAGATCATCAAATTCACAGAGACGCCAAGTAGAATGGTGGCTGCCAGGGACTGGGAGGAGGCAGGGATGGGGGGGGGGGGGGGCAGTGCTTCACGGGAACAGGGCTTCAGTTTTATAAGATGAGCAGAGCTATAGTGTTGGATGATGGTGATGGTGATGGTTCGCAGCATTATGAATGTAAGATATCACTGATATGAAGAACGGTCGAGACGGTGAATTCTGGGTTATGTGTATTTTACTACACACGCCCACACAATGTACCATTTGCAACGGAAAGCAAAAATATAAGGGACCAGGGGCGCCTGGGGGGCTCAGTCGGTTAAGCGACAGACTTCAGCTCAGGTCATGACCTCATAGTTTGTGGGTTCCAGCCCCGTGTCGGGCTCTGTGCTGACAGCTCAGAGCCTGGAGCCTGCTTCAGATTCTGTGTCTCCCTCTCTCTCTCTCCCCATCCCCTGCTTGCACTCTGTCCCGCTCTGTCTCTCAAAAAAAAAATTTTTTTTAAATGTTTTGAATACAAGGGGCCTGAGGGTACATGTAACAAAAGAGGCGCAAAATTTTAGGGAGAAAATTACTGAAAGACACTCCAGATCTAAATACCTAGGGGGATATGTACCCCATCTGTGGATGTAAAGACAATTTCATAAGTTGTCAGTTCTCCCCAAATTGATCGAAACGTTTAATATTAATCCATCCAACAAAGTTTTCCAAGTGACTTGAAAAGATGATTTCTATGAGAAAGAGAACGATGGCAAAAACAGCCAATCCTTGATGAGGAGCAAAGCTGGGAGAACTTGGTGCAACAGATACCAAGACTTAGATAACTAGAGTAACTAGGCAATGCGGTACCCGAAAGCCACACAAATCACCAAATCAGCTGATCAAAGAGAACAAGGAGCCAAAGCCAATCAACAAATGTATGGAAACATGACCTCTCATGAGGGTGGCTCTCATCTGCAATCAGGGAAGCTGTAACAGAAGCTGGGACAGGAGTTACTATAGAGAAAAAGATGGAGCACCTGGGTGGCTCAGTCCATGGACCGTGCAACTCTTGATTTCAGGGTTGTGAGTTCAACCCCCACACTGGGAGGAGAGATTACATAAAACTAAAATCCTTAGAGGCGCCTGGGTGGCTCAGTTGGTTGAGCGTCTGACTTCGGCTCCAGGTCATGATCTCATGGCTCCTGAGTTTGAGCCCCGTGTCGGGCTTACTGCTGTTAGTGCAGAGGCCACTTCAGACCCTCTGTACCCCCCCCCAATCTGTGGCCCTCCCCTACTAGCACACTCTCAAAAAAAAAGAAAACAAAAAAACCTAAAAATAAATAAATAAAATGAAAATCCTTAAAAAAAAGAAAATCCTCAATTCATATCGCACGCAAAAATTAATCACAGATGGGTAAAGATTTAAATGTTCCCTGCAAAATATAAAAAGGGGGTTAGAAAAAATATTTTATGACCCTGCGAGGGAGGAACTCTTGAAGAAAACACAAAAAGTAGAAATCAGAAAGATTGATGAACTCGACTAAATTAAAATAAAAACTTGTTCTTCCAAAGACACTATAAATAACCTGAGAAGATGAGGCGCAAATTGGGAGGAGATATTTGCAATTCATAAGTGAAAAGTGATTATCATCCTAAATATATAAAGAACTCCTAAAAACCACTAAGAAAGCACCCGAAAACCTAATAGAAAATTAGGTAAAAGGCATGAACAGGCATTTCATAGAAGGAGAAGTCTGAATGGCCAATAATGATTTGAAAATATGCTCAACCTCATTAGTAATCAGAGAAATGCAAATTAAGGCTATAGAGAATTGCCATTTTATACAAACTAGTTTGGCAAAAGAGAAGAAGCCTGGCGAATTCCGAGCTTGCCGTAAAGCAGCAGAATGTCTCACAGCATGGGCAAAGCCACCCCGGGACACAATTTGGCAGTGTCTTCTAAAGAGCAGCAAAAGCACACACTCCGTAATCTCCAGCTGCTCTCCTTCTCGAATCTCCTGCGCAGGTGCATCTCGAGACCCATTTAAGAACATTCAGAGCAGCCTCGTTGGTAATAGCAAGAAAACGGGAAGCAGATCGGATGTCGCTAGCTGGCAGAATGGAGAAATAAATTGCAACATGCTCATACAATGGAAAACTATACATCAGAGAAAATAAAGGACACGACAGTGAAACATCCACCTGGATACGTGTTAGAAACACAATGTTGAGTGGAAATACAGTGTGATCGCATTTTTTATAAAGCTCAAAAATGAGCAAAGTTACACAATGCATGGGTTGGGGATGCACGTACACATGGAAAAACTACTCCCCGAAAGGTAAGGAAATTATAAACACAAATGTCAGGGGGGCTGGCATTTATGTCTAAGAGGGGATATACTCAGGGAGGGACACCCAGATGATGTTCTCCTTTTTTTTTCTTTGTTTTAATGTTTACTTATTTTTGAGAGAGAAAGAGCGTGCACGCACGAGCGCGCGAGCGAGCGGGGGAGGGGCAGAGAGAGAGGGAGACACAGAATCTGAAGCAGGCTCCAGGCTCTGAGCTGTCAGCACAGAGCCTGACACAGGGCTCGAACCCACAAACCACGAGATCATGACCCGAGCCCAACCGACTGAGCCACCCAGGCGCCCCCACCCCCGATGATGTTCTAATTCGCCAGTATAGTTCACCAGTGCTTGTTGTATTATCATTGCGTGACTTTCACAAACATCACATATTTTCTTTCGTACAAATTAACATGAACCAGAATAAAAAGATACGTGAGGAGATGATTTTTGACAAGCACCTAAAACATACGGCTAATCCACCATATTCTTCCTCCATGCTGGGCGCGGCACAAATATACACGTAATAGCTAACTTAGTCTTCCAGCAGATCTACCAGCAGAGATGATCTTTAGCCCCATTTTGTACATGAGGCAGCAGACATCCAGAGAGATTAAGTAACTTTCCCCAGATCACACAGCTAAGGGGATGTGAGATGCAAACGCACGTCTGTCTGACTTCAGAGCAATCCTTCTTAGCCACTGGTCCCCAGCCTCTCACACGGCAGGTGCTCTGGTCCCCTCTGATCACACTGAGCCCCCAGAGCACTTCCCCCAATCAACACGGGACCTCGAATTCCTTCTAGAGAAGCCTGTGTCTAAGTCCTCCATTTTCCTAAAACTCTTCCAGGGCAAAAGTAATACCAGTGCCTCCTCTGCTTTGCCAGGGCCGGTACCCAGCAGGAGCACAACAGATGCTTCATTTTTGGGTTGAGGTGTTCCAGAACTCAGCAGAGGGGCCCAGCCCTACTAGCTCGGGTGTGGAGCCCAAAGGCGGGAGGGCCGGGCACTCACCCCGGGGGCTGTAGCCGTGGGTGTCCATGAAGGAGAGGCCCAGCCGCTCATCCTCCTGGAGGGTGCTCTGGTCCGTGAAGCTGCGGTCCACGGCACTCATCATGTGGGTCTTCTCCTGGCGGTAATTGACGGTGGCTTTGGTCATGTTCACAGGCTTTCTGCAGAGAGGGGTTGGCAAGAGACACGGGTGCTGAGCTGGGCAGGACGACACCCAGAGATGCATGTGGAGGCCCAACGGTCAGGGGCCTTTGAGGCCAGAAGCCATTCTAGAAGCATCTCTAAAAACGGAGAGGGCTCCATCTCTATCCTGTGCTACCCAGAGAGCTTGGGTAGCTCCCCCAGAAGGGACTGGGCAGAGTCCTTGTCCTGGGACCATTGTGGAGAACAGGCAATGATGCTGGTACCTGGCTCCTGTCACTAACCTTGAGGGCTCAGGAAACGGGAAGAAATGTCACTCCGGGACTATTCCGGTGTCACAGCAGTCATGCCATCCAAGCTAGGAAGAGGGCTGCCCCAGCTCCAGCCCCAGCGCGGCCCCAGGGCCACCCTCCTCTCCCCATCCTCACCAAACATGTGCCCTCAGAACATTCTGCCTGTGATGGGGGCGGACTATGCTCTTCCTTCATGGCAGAGTCTGGCCTCTGCTCAGGAGTCTTCCTCTGGGCATGGAATGAACTCCAGCTGGCTTCTTCCCACCTCCCAGAACCCCTGGGATGACCCACTGTGGGCCACACTGGACTTGTAAAGAGATCCACTCAGCGTCCATATTCCTGCCACTGCCTAGCAGCCCATCCGACCACTGGAAGCAGCAGAGGAAAGGAAGAGGCCTCAGTCCCTCCTGAGAGGCCTTGTGAAGAGGCCCCTAGACAAGGGACCTGCCCAGGCCTCCAGCCCCACTGACACATGAGGATGGCAGTCTGTGACTCTGGAGGACTCGGAGGAAAGTGGGAAGAAAAACAGAGGGCACAGCTCAGTGACCGAGGGGCTGAGCAAAAGGGAAAGACGGAATGACTTGGGACTGGCATTGAGACTGGAAAAGAGCCAGGGGCCCAATCACAGGCTGAAGACAAGAGGGTCACTTATACTGCAGGGCCCTACAGCATGCAGGATGTGGGGTAGACCTGAGGAGGGACTTCCAGGTTAAGAGGGTTCAGGACACCTGACCATCGGTGGAGATGAAGAGGCCAATGAAAGGACCTTCCCAAACAGGCAAACTGTAATCAGTCTGTCCTAGCTCAAGAGCTGTCTGGGGCAGGGAAGACACGGTGGTTCCTGGATGGCCCCCAACCACGAAGCTCTGGGCATCACCCTCACTGTGGCCCAGGGCACAGCCAAGGACCCCTTTGTGGACAGATGCAAATGAAAAGCCTCTGTGACCTTGATCGTGGACATAAAAGAAAAGGTGAAAGAAGGGGACAGGGAGGTGAGGAGGGGCCAAGGGAAACGGAGGGTAAGAGAATGGACGAGGGGGAGGAGAGACAGTAAAGGGACAAAGACAAGGAGAGAGATGGGGAAGGACAGGCAGACGCCAGCACACCGCAGGGAGGGCAGACAGAGGCCACGGACGGGGGACGGCAATCAAGCTGTGCCTAGCAGCCAGTCTCCAGGGAAGTGCCCCAGGGCTCTGTCCCCGCCCGGGCCTCTAGCCACAGCCACCGGCCAAGCAGCTCCCCAGACGACAGAAGCCGGAGGGACCCGGGACACCGCCCGCCCCCAGCTGATCTCAGGGTGACACTCCCTCAGCAGGGGGCATGGACTACGGACACGGGGAGAGGTTCCGCATTCGGGCCCCCACAATGACCGCAGAGCAGAGAAGGAGGGAGACCCGTCCTGTCAGCGACCCCTGGAAAAGCCCGGCTGGAGCCTCCCCTGACGTGACAGCGGCTTAGGTGCTGGACAAGCTGCTGTGACACCAGACGACGTCCACGCCAGGAGAGGGCGCAGGGAGGAGGAGGTGAGGGCCCACCACCCTCTGGGCTGCCCTGGGGCTTCCTGAGCCTGCTCTGCAAGGAGGGGAGGACAAGCACCGGAGCGGGGAATGTTCTGGAAGGTTCCCAGAGTAGAAGACAGAGGCAGAAAACAGCAGCAGCAGGGGGCCTGGGAGGCAGGGCCTGGGTGGTAACCCCAGCTCTGGCTCTTCCTGTCCCCTCTGAGCCTGGTCTCCCCCCTTCAGTGACACGGGGGTGATCCCAGAGCCACTTCTGTCGGTGGCTGTGAGGACCTGTGCACAGGCAGGGCCCCGAGGAGGCGTCCAGAAAGGGTGGGTCCGAAGAGCCTGGGGCGGCCGGGCTGGAGAAGGGGCTCGTGGTGACCCGGCCGTGTGCACTGCGGGGACAGCTGCCAGGGTGGGGACGCACACGCGCACGGCTGTGGACCTGCGTGAGGACCTGCATGAGGGCCTCCACACGAGGGGGAGGGGGAGGGGGAGGAGGGGGAGGACGCGGGGACGAGGGGGCGGGGCTACTTACGGGTAGTAGGAGTAGGCATAGCGGTCCCTCCTGGCGGCGTGCAAAGAGAACAGCACGGTTGGGCCCGCGGTCCTGCCACAGGCGGGCAGCACCCGGCGGGGAGGCGCCTGGTGCTCTCTGTGCTGAGGAGGCCGCTGGCCAGGGGCTGGGCCCGTCAGAACGGCCTTCCTCCTCCCAAGGGCTGGCTGGGCTCAGTCGTTGAAAACCGAGACCCAAGCCCCGAGACCCTTCCAGAACCTTCCCCCAGTCTGCTGTTGGAGTGAGGAGGAGGTGGGGAAAGGGCCTTGGGAAGCAGAGCTGTCACACACATGGACACACGGACACACACACGGACACAGAGAGAAATATACACACGTGCACACTCACACATAGACATAGACACACTCATGTGGATGCACACACATTCACTCATGCACATGGACACAAGCACTGACACACTCGTGCACTCACACAGACACACATGCAGACACACATGCATACACACACACAATGACACACACTCACAGGACACATACAAAGACATATATTCACACACACACACACACACACAGATGCGTTCCCTCTCACACACAGACACCCCCTCACATACTCACAGGGGATTGCCTCTCCCCTGCAGCCCCGCCCCTCGGTCCCAATGCCGCTCACACCTGCAGGCCCCTAGGCCCCCAGTGGGTCAGCCCTCTGCATACACCTGTGCCTGGGAGGGAGCAGTGGCTGGGGGAGGGGAGGCGTGGAGGGCTGCGGCTGGACTCCAGGGCAAAGGTGAGGCCAGCCCTCCCTCACCCAGACTGCCCCTGAGTGTGGGCTCCATCAAAGGAGCCAGGCCGCCCCCTCTGGGCACCCGAAGCATAGCTTGGGTCTGATCCCACTTCACGGGCGGGGAAGCCAAGTCCCAGAGAGTCACGGCCCACCCGTGCCCAGAGGGGGTCAGGAGCAGAGTGCAGATGCCTGTCCCAGGACCCTGACCCCAGAGCCAGCCCCCTCCGGAGGCCACATCCAGGCACATCCAGGGGTCTTCCATTCACCTGCCTCCACACCACCCGGCCAGCAGGGACCCCAGCGAACGGCCTTCCACAGGGAATCCTGCAGACTTGGGGGAAGGGAAAGAGCGAAGAGTGGAAGGCTGAGGCCCAGCGAGGGCAGGGGAGTGGCTGGAGGCCACACAGCACATGTCCTGTCACCCATCCTGGGAGAGAGGGGAGGGCCCAGGCCCCATGGCTGGTCACAGGGTCCCCAAAGGGGGGAGGGGAGGATGGGTGAAGAAATGGCATTCTTCTGGTCTCAGCTGAAATGTCCATGAGTTTTCAAGGGCCTTCCCCAAATGCCCCATAATCACCAACTCTACTATGTCACCTTTACCCTCTCTCCGCCCACCACCCCGGCATCCTGTTCTTTTCACAACTGACATTTGTGCTTTTTCTAGTTTAACGCCACACTCCACAGCTGCAAAGCACAGGACGGCAGCACCCTTATTATCTGTTTTGCCCACTGATGGGTTCCGGGGCCCAGGACAGTGACCAGGACACGATAATCCCCCAATAAACATCTCGTTGAACTGAGTAATCAATAACGAGAGAAGATAAATAAAAGAATTCCACCTCTACGAGTATCCATATCCTCCTGGAAACAAGTGAGGTTAATAATGACTCCCCCGCCGCCCAGGGCCCACTGTCAGCCTAGCCCTTCCCTGCCTCGCTCCGCCTGCTGACTTGGGAGCTATGGGTTCAAGAGGAGCCCACTCAACGGGGCCAGACCCTGGGGATGCACAGCCAACAATAACGAAACAAGGCACTACAGGTAAGTAAAAGGGAAAGTACAGGGAGAAGAAAGTACTGCAGAGGAGAAGGATGAGATTCTGGAAACAAAAGAAGGGAAGTGACTCCACCCGGTGAGTTCTCCAAGTGCAGATGCACCCACGCTCACTGTCCACCCAGGCAGGGCAGGATGGGGAACCTCAGTCCCCTCCCCCTGCTCTGCCCCCAGCCCCCACTGTCTCCCAGAACCACCCCTGCCCCAGGCCACCTCCTTCCTCCAACGAGGATGAGCAGGGGGGCAACTGGGTGTCAGCCCCCCCTCAGCAACCTCCTGCCCTGTCCGTTACATTTAATGTGAACACCTACATCCCTGCCAGACCTGCTCTGGCCCCCGACACCCTGCAGTGCAGACTGGGGGAGCCCTGAGGAGCAAAGTGCCCCCTGAAGGCCAGGGTAGGATTTGGGGAGACGCAGTGAGGTGCTCTAGAACAGGACCAAATGGAAGGAAGGAAGGAAATCTGGGGGGATTCTAGGGGGTTCTAGGGTAGCCTGGAAGGGTTTATGGAGTAGCAGCTGTGTAAAGTGCAGGGTTTCCTAGTAGCATCTCTCACTGATCCTCTCCTGGGTGACAACCCGTACTTTGCCAATCTCTCCTTGAGGGTTAGATTTCTAAGGCCTCAAATACTATCTGCAAGCCCCCAAAATCTGACCACTTGCTTACAACCTTCTCCATCTGCCCCACTTCCCACCCCAACCCACCCCAGAATTAACTTCCAGGTCCCCCACAGGGAAGGACAGGAACTTGCCAATTCTGGGCACCCACTGTGTGCAAGCCACGGTGAGACCCTTCACGTCCACGGCCATAAGGAGCTTGGGCTGTGTCATCAGGACTGGATTCCAACCAGCCGAGTGACAAGGTCAAGTTGATCAATGAGTCTCCTCAGCTGTGAAAAAGGGCTCGGACCTGCTTCATAGGTCAGGATCCAAGAAGGAAACGTTCTCTGATGTATCCTGAGTGCCAGAACCATGACTGGTTCTGAGTGCTGCACACAGTAGGCACTCAGTAGCTAATGGATGGTATGTATAAAGCCCTTGGCACACAGTAATATTCACCACATGACGATTTAAAGTATTTTGTCTCAAGTGGCTGTGTAAGGACTAAGAAAGGGAGAAATGAGCTTAACGACCTGGATAGGCCAACCCCACCTAGCTGGCACACCCCATCTCCAGATTCTCTGGAACAGTCTCTCTGCTGGTGCCTGCCTTGGGCAAGGGAGCCCTGGCCAGTTCTCCCTTGCACCACCCCCCATCCTACATAGCAGCTCCCAGAAGCCCTGAGATCCAGCATGAGCCCGGCAGCAGCTGTGAAAACCCAGGGGAGCAGAGGGCAGAGCGGGCTCTGCCTCTGGCTCCCCATGTGACCTTGGGCAGGTCCATGCCCCCATAGGGCCTCAGCATCTCCATCCTTTAATTAAGGTGCTTGGACCACAGTGTCCTGGGGCTGTCTGGTGGGGAATGAAGGGCAGGGAAGGGGTGGGGGGAACCAGAGTGGTGTCAGAAGCCTCCAGCCCAGCTCCAACCAGAGGCTCAGCCTTGATCTGCTCCATGTACTAAAGTGCCCAGGGGAGGTTTATTTGATGTTTTTGAAGGCAGGTTCTGTTGCTTTAAAAAGATTTAAAAAACCACTAGACTAGATGTCCTTGAACTACCAGGCAGCTCTCACCTTCTGGGCTCTGAGCTTCTATAATTCTAAATTCTGAGATTCTTAGAATTCCCCAATCCAGGATGCCTGCAACTCTGACTTTCTAAGTTCTGGATTCTAAGGTGTGCCAGGATTCACGCTGTCCACTGCAGAAGGCAACAGGAAAGGCATCCCTTGGAAACACGCCCGACCTTGGAGGCCTGGGGGACGGGAGGGGCATGTGCCAAGGTCCAGGAAGACTCCACAAGGGTCCAGAGCGAGCTGAGCCCAAGGGAGGGCAGGGCCCAGGAAGGGCCACGGCTCCACATCCTTGGGTTTGAAGGGGAGTGAGCACCACCCCCACTGCTCAGGGTCAACACCACGACCCCAAGTTGGTCTGCAGGAGGCGGGAGATTCCAAGTCAGGTGACCCCCACGCCCTCCCCATGGGAACAGCCCGGCAGGCACTGGAGGGCTGTGCCCATTCTAGTGCTACTCCTTGGCAGGCGGCATGGAGCACCCTTCCCTGGATAGCGGCGCCCGGCACCAGCCAGACCTGGGCTCCAGCCAAGCTGCTCTGGGGCAGCTTCATCTGCAGAGGCTCTGGCTTCCCGTTGCCTGGCTTGGGCCCGTCCCCAGGCCTGATGCCCAGGCTGGCGGCCCTCCACGCTCCCCAGGCGGCTGCCCTCCGCGGCCCCAGCCACCGCTCCCCTCTGCCCCCCAGGCGCCGGCCTCGCTCACCCCTTACGGATGATGATAATGACGGCCCCCAGGAGAAGAATGAGTACGGCAAGCCCACCCGCACAGATGCCCAGGATGAGCCCCATCTCCTCCGATCTCTGGGACACCTCCAGGGGACGCTTGCTTTCTTTGCAGGCAGCTGGGGAGAATAAAGCAGACCAAGGGTCAGAGAGGAGGTAAGGGCCACTTACCCGCTGCGGCAGGGGCCTGAGCCCTGAGGAATCAATGAACAAATGCGCCTCGTCCTCAGCTCACATCCAGCCTTTTGGTCAGGTCTTCCCCCGCACCGTCTATACCCTCTGCACCCCTGTGGACCCCATCAGGAAGAGCTCCCCTTACCCCTCTACTTTGTCAAATCCTCCCTTCAGTGGGTGGAGGATGAAGGATGCCTAGAACATCATCTTGGCCCCCGAGAGGCAATGGGGGGAAAGAAGTATGTACCTAGGGTGCGTTTAGGGCATCTCAGGACGAAAGCCAACCCCGTTCCCTGTCTATACCGCAGGGTCCACCTCCTCCCCACCACAGCAAAGGCGGTGGATATAGAACCTGGAACCAGTGCCTAGTGCCATCACCCCCCTGGCCCGACCGTACAGCTCCCCCTCCACAGACGTGTTCTGTGACCACAGTCGAGGACAGGGAGGTCAGCCCCACTGCCCAGCCTGGGAGGAGGGGCCCTGCAGGTGGGGCAAATGGGGGCCAGGAAGGGAAAAGCTTCCTGACCCCAGGTCTGCCGGACCACCCTCCTCTGCTCCCACAGCCCTGAGTGCTCAGGGCCCAAGCCCCCAGAGCCAGAGGAGAGGAACTGGGTGCTGAAGGCCGGAAGGAACCCAGGGGGCCTCACCTTTCCTGGCGATGCGGATGCAATTCAGCCGGGTCTCCTGGAGGCAAAGATGGGGGTCTCAGCACTGCCGAAGCCCGGACCTGACCCTCCCCCTAGGGATCCTCGAGCAGCTTGTCCTGGGCCTGGTCAGGGCTTGTCTGGAGCTGACCGAAACTAAAGACACCCCTCCCGGTAGCAAGGCCCGGGGTGCGGGTGGGGTACTAGGGAAGGGAGGGAATGGTGTGCAAAGAGGGTAATGACTTAGGGAAGGGGAATGAGTTTGGGGGAGCAGGGAAAGAAACAATGTGGGAAGGGGGCATCCTCAATAATGAGGGTCAGGGGCCAGTTAGGAGGGGAAGCCTGAGGAGGAGAGAGCCAGGGAGGGGGGAGGCAGGAGAAGGGCGGGGCTTCAGGGAGGAGGAGGGTGGCGGACCCCAAGGTCTGGGGAGAGCAGGACCAGGAAATGGACCCCTCCCAGAAGACAAGAGCCCGAGACAGAGACCAGGGCCTCGAGGAGGGGGCAGGGATAGACTGGGGGCTTAGACATAAGCGTCTGGGCGTAAAGGCTCAGGAAGGGAATATGCTCTAAGAGAAGGAACCTGAGGTCAGAAGGTTCAGGGGAGGAGAGTGGGGTTCCGGAGTGGGGGTGGGGCTGGGGCAGTGTCTCTGGCCTCCGTAGGGGGCTGCTCCAATGGCTCCCAGGGGACCCCAGACCAGCACAACCCCTGTGGGTCCCTCACCCCCTTCAGGTGGCTTGTTGCCTGAAAGTATATGAGGTAGGCCTTCCTGGGCTCCAGCGGCGGGTTCCAGAAGCCGCGATAGGTCTGGTTGTCACCCACCGTGAAGGGCATGGCTTCCGGAAGACTGCTGGCCGCCAGTTCAGCCCCGAAGTAGTGCACCAGGCCCCGGGCCAGCGCAGCGTCAAAAGTCAAAGGTACTGGGAAGCAGTCCTGGCTGCCTGGCTCCCGACGCAGCCTCCGCGGCCGCTCCTCCTCCACAATCACCTGGTACACACTGCACAGGGGGAAGGGACAGGGCAGTGATCCCAGCGTGCGAGTACGGGGAGAGCCATCTGGTGGCTAAGGGCATAGGCTTTGGGGTCAGGCCCAGCCAGGGACTAATCTTGGCCCTGCCTCTTACTCACTGGGCAACGCACTTAACCTCCCTGGGCCTCAGTTTCCTCCTCTGTAAAATGAGCGTGATCCCAGAGGCAGCCCCATGAGCTAAGTGTAAGGAGGCAAGTTTAACAAGCAGCCGGGCCGGTCAGCCATTATTACTTTCGCTAAGGCAGAAAGAACATGGGCCCTGCTCCACAGCACCAAGGCCTACAGCCCACCCTGACTCCTCAGTGAGTGCTCCAGCACCTGCCACAGGACCTGGGCCCCCTCCCCCAGCCCCCGCAAAGCCTCAGGCCCCATGGCTATTACCAATGGCTCCCTTTGGGTCTCCAGAAACCAAAGTCTGGCACAGCATTTATTCATTCAGAAAGTGCTTGAGCTCTGATGCTGGGCCCCTGCTAGGTAGGCACTCGGGGACCTAGGCTTCCTGAACCTGACCTCCAGTTGAGGAGAGAGTCACTGAGCGAGCAAAGAAGGCCACACGAATCCTGCATCATGAGTACCCTCCTAACCTAGTGGTGGCCTCAAGTCTGCAGCTTTGAGCCTGTCATCACCCGGGTCCTGACAGCTGATCTGTGTTCCCTAGTCTGTATCCCCTCTGATGTGTGTCTCCCAGTCTCGACTGGTGTGTTTCTATTTATTTTTATCAGTTTACTGAATGGCCTTTTGCCGCGCGCTCCTTCAAATCCTCTGTGGAACAAAGCCAAGAGTAAATAAATGAGAGCTGACAAATTTAAATATTTCCAATCACAGCCTCGGTCACGTCCTGGCATGTGACACCCATAGTGGCAGCTACACTCCGGGAAGGAGACATCCCTTTCCTTCCAGCTGTTTCTTTCCAGCTTCGAAGCTGTGGGGGGATCACCCCAGCACCCTGGGATTCGGGCCACACAGGTCCAGTTCTTCGTCCCTAGAGCATTTCAATCACAAACCCAGGCCCCTCTCAGCCTCCATTTCCCTGAAGCTCCCAGGTCACCTCCCCACGACCGGCCCCACATCCCACCAGTAGGTGAAAATAACCAACACTGAACAAAGCATCTTGACCGGGATGATCCCCTTTATGCAGACAGGGAAAAGAAGGCTCAGAGAGGTAAAGGGACATGCCTCAGGTCACACAGCCACTGTGCCTCTCCCCTGCACCGTGTTCCACTCCCCCTCCCCACCCCAGCCTGTCATCACCATCCCTGAGGGACACTGGACAAGTCCGCTCACAGGACTGGGAAAAGAGAAGGTGCTGCTGGGTTTCCCGGCCCCCAGGCTCAGCCACACAAAGGCCCTGAGCCCCCTGCAAATGCAACATGCCCTTCAGCCACCCTGACTTTTTCCTGAGAGTCTGGGAATCAGCCCAGGTCAGGCTCTGCAGCAGCAAATGCAGGGAGGCAAAGCAGGAGAAAGAAGGGAAGAGGAGGTGAGGGGGGATCAAGGGCACCTGGGCAACCCACTACCTCCTGGGAGGCTGAGCAGGGTCTTCCCACCCCCAAACGTAGGCCTCTTTCGGGGGAGGGGCCAGAGGGGCAGGGGGGCCCTGTGACTTCAAGAAAAGGTACAGGCTGTGCAGACAGACCTGAGTTCCACACCCCGCTCTATCACAAGCCAGCGGTGTGACCCTGGGAGCAAGCTACTTAACTCTGAGCCTGTTTCCTGAATTGTAAACTACAGGTAACAATACCGACTCCACAGGCCACCCAGAGGATAAAATGGCTGCGGGTGAAGTCGCAAACGCAAGCATTTGGCTGAAAGGAAGCATGTATACACAGCCCGCAAACACCCTCACGCTCTCTCACATACACACACTCACACCTCCACGCCACACATCACACATACATGCTGCGTGTCTTTATCACATACACGCGCCATCTTGTCTCCAGCACCTTCTCTCCAGCAGAGGAGCCTCAACTTTCTCTGCGGAGAAGAAACTAGAAAAGACAAGCTCTTAGCCACTCCAGAGAGATGTCCCTGTCTTGCTGGCTGCCCTAGGCTTCTAGAATGCCCATCCCTGTGTCTCCTGGGGAAAGCTGGGAAGAAAGATGGCCCCCAGGGGTTCACTCCTCCAAGATGTCTGAAGAGAGGCCTCCAGGAGATGCCTGCCTGGACAGTCACCTCTCCAGGCTGGACACTGTCCAAAGATTTCATGACATTCTCCATTGGACACCCACGGCAGTGGCTGTGGGCTGTCCACCTGCCCAGGGTCACAGAATGTCCTCCTGTGGACACTTTGAGCCCTGAGTGGGAAGCTGAGGGAGGACAGCTGAGCTGGCCTGTGTGGGGGGCTCTGGGCCAGAGGCTGAGCTTCTTCCCTATGGCACTGACCTCCCACCCCTCCATCTAGGCTTTCCCACCTGATGGGCGCGCCGCGACCCTGTGCCGGCCTCAGCAGAACGGTGATAGTGTTCTCAGACTCGCCCAGGGGTGACGGCATGTCGGCATAATCAAAGCTGGGAGCTGGGGAAGGGAACACAGATGTGAGCACGGAGCCTGGCTGCTAGACCCCGAAGGCTGAGTCTCTTGACTCCAGTCCCCAGGTCTCTTCCCCTTCAGCCTTGTTCCCTCTGGCCTGAGCTTCCCAGACTTCTGACCCCCGAACTCAGCCCTCAGATTCCAGTCTCCTCCCCACCTCCTCCCTGAGCCCTGAACTTAATCCCTAAGTGATACATTCATCTTAGCAGGGGCCCTCTATAAACACCCCCAGGACACCCCCCTCCTCCCTCTGCCCACAGAATCCGGGGATTCCGAATCTCCTCTAAAGGGGCCAGGCTGGGATCAGGCAGGCTCACCTGAGATATTGGTGGTGATCTCGGTGAGCGCCGCCTGGCCAAAGCCTTTGCCCGTGCGGGCCCGCACAGAGAACAGGTAGGTGGTGCCCGGGTGTAGGTTGGAGAAGACGTGGTAGGTCTCGTTGCGGAGCTTGGAGATAGTACGTCGTGGGCCTGGCACATTCACCGCTGGGTCTGACGACTCAATGCTCTGATAGCTGATCTAGGGGCAGGACGGGCAAGGAGGTGGGCACAGGGATGGGGAAGGCCATCACTGGGTCCATAGCCTCCCACCCATCATAGTTCAGGTGAGCTAGGGAGAGGGCTGGGCAAAGGGGGCCTATGGATGCCCGTTAGCCCAGGCCTCTGGACACCTTCACCTCTCTTCTTTCAGGGCCCTTGTGCCCATAACCCAGGGCACAGACCCTGACCGGTGGAAGGAACCTCAGTGATCACCTCCGTCCCCTGCCCTGCACCCCCCTCTCCAAGCTGTGTGCCCACCTTCCACCAGCGACTTCCTCTGTAATGAGGTCCAAACTCACCTCATACTGAGTGATGAGGCCATTGGGTTCCTGCGGCTCCTCCCACTTGAGGAAGATCATGTCCTCCAGGGGAGTGAAGGTCAGGGACTCGGCTGCAATCCCACCAGGCACTGCGAGGGAAAGTGGCACAGAGCAGGGGAAGGCCGGCTTTGGAGCAGACACCTGAATTCAAATTCCAGCCTTGCTATCTCCTAGCTGGGATGCTCAAGCATCTCAACTCCTCTGAACCTCAGTGTCCTCGTCTGTGAAATGGGGATGAAAATAACCCTTCCCTCACCAGAATGAAGTGATGTGATGTACAGAAAGCCCCAAGGTAAATATCAGGAATTTCATACGGTTCAACCTTGTCCTGAATATTCAAAGAGGGTCGCTGCCCATCCCATTACTGTGCAGGTTGCATTCAGAAGAGAACGTCTGAATGCTCCAGTTTTGTTCCAGTTGAATGGTTTTCAGAAAATATAGACCAGACCTTTGCCAGAGAAATGGAAACAACTGCATGAGACTGGCAGGATTAGGGGTAGAGATGTTTCCTTGTCTAAAAATTTCTGATTGCACAAAAACTATGTTCGGTGTAGAAAATCAAAATGAGTATAAAGAAAATTAATGGCACCTGCAATTCCATCACCCAGAGACACCATTAACATTTTAGCATAAACCCGTTCAGGTCTGGCTTTATTTGTTTTTGTTCTATTGGGTCATGTCCTCTTTTTTTTTATTTTTGTTTTTTTATTTATTTCTAGGAGAGAGAGAGAGACAACATGAGCAGGGAAGGGTCAGAGAGAGAGGGAGTCACAGACTGAAACAGGCTCCAGGCTCTGAGCTGGCAGTCAGCACAGAGCCCGATGCGGGGCTCAAACCCACGAACCGTGAGATCATGACCCAAGCGAAAGTCGGACGCTTAACCGACTAAGCCACCCAGGAGCCCCGGGTCATGTCCTCTTAATAGCAGCCGCAAGGAATTTCTTCTAGGAAGAGAATAGTCTTTGAGGAAACACCCTGATATCTCAGTGTGGGGAAGCTGAAGTCCTGAGGCAGGGGAAAACAGAACCCAAAGAACAGTCACTGACACTAAAATGTTCTGTGTAGGGGCGCCTGGGTGGCTCAGTGGGTTAAGCGTCCGACTTCGGCTCAGGTCAAGATCTCAGGGTTCGTGGGTTCGAGCCCTGCATTGGGCTCTGTGCTGACAGCCCAGAGCCTGGAGCCTGTTTTGGATTCTGGGTCTCCCTCTCTCTCTGCCCCTCCCCCACTCATGTTTGGTTTCTCTCTGTCTCAATAATAAAAAACATCAAAAAAATTTTTTTAAATAAATAAATGTTCTGTGTTAAAACGAACAGTCAACAACACAGCCCATCCACCAAAATGATCAAATGAGAAAGACAATCCCAAGTGTTGGTGAGGAGGCAGAACAACTCAAATTTTCACACACTGCTGGTGGGTGTGTAAACTGATACAAGACCTTGGGAAAGCTCTCTGGATAGATCTACGTATTATGAACACATACCCTATAACCCAGCTGCTCCACGCCTAGGCATTAACCGATCAGAAAAATGTATATCTACACCACCTCCCCCCTCCCTGACACATACACGAAAAGAATCTGCAAGTATTTTTTTCTTTACAGCAGAAGTTAAATAGGATAAATGAATGTGGTACATTCACATAATGTAATAAGAATGAATTCTCTAGAACCCTATACACATGGTTGGCTCTCTCAGGCATAAAGTCGAGAGAAAGGAGCCGGTCATAAAAAGAATACACACTGTAATGACTCATTTGATAGAAAGTTCAACCCAAGCAGAAATTAATCTATTGCATTATAGGTCAAGATAATGGTTACCCTTGGGAGGCTGTGAGTGGGAAGGTACATGGGGGGGCGGGGGGGGGTTTCTGATGAGCTGCTAATGCTATTTCTTTTTAAGTCTATTTCTTTTGAGAGAGAGAGCATGAGCAGGAGAGAAGCAGAGAGAGAGAGAGAGAAAGAGAGAGAATCCCAAGCAGGCTCCACACTGTCAGCACAGAGCCCCACACGGGGCTCACAAAGCGTGAGATCATGACCTGAGCCAAGTTCAAGAGTCAGATGCTTAACGGACTGAGCCACCTAGGTGCTCCTGCTAATGCTATTTCTTGATCCGTGTGTGGGTTATCCTGATGTGCTCAGTCTGTGAGAATTCACTGAGCTTACCTTAGTAAGTACGTTTCCTAAAACTATTATACTAATACTTCAATGAAATGTAAAAAAACAAAACAAAACAAACTAAGTAGTAGGCAATTACTGGAGGGAGAGAGGAAAGGGACAGAAAAGAAGAAAGCCATACAGCCCAAGGGAGGCCTGGTCAAAAGGAAGTGAAGCAGCCACAGCAACATACCTCGGGGGGCAGACAGGTCAACAGACTTTAACAGTGAGGGAGTCTGATCTTGACCTTGAGGTTGATTGTGAAGGGTAGTAGAATATGCCACCCCAAAATATACTGCTTTGGCATCAGGATTATTTTGAGCCGAATCAAGAAGCAGCAGATCCAAGAAAAGTTCTCTGCTCTCCGTTTGCCTAAAAGCAGGACACAAATCTGGAAAGGTGTCCCCATCCCCTCATTACTGGGAAGGAAAGAAGTTAAATCACTGAGACAGCTGTAGACCTTTATCAGCCCAGAAGAATCTACAGGAACGTCGCTAAACTTTACTAACTAGCCCTTCTCTACCACTGGTTTCCCCAAATATTTGCCTTCATATAATCTGCTGTCCCTAAAATTTCAAAAATCCTTTTCCTCTGTCTTGTCACTTTCCTATAAATTAATTGTTCTTCCGTTAAGACACTACGTGGGGTGCCTAGGTGGCTCAGTCGGTTAGGCCTCCGACTGTTGATTGCAGCTCAGGTCATGATTTCACGATTTATGGGATTGAGCCCCGTGCCGGGCTCTGTGCTGACAGCGCACAGCCTGCTTGGGACTCTCTCTCTACTCCACTCTCTGCCCCGGCCTTACCCTCTATCTCTCAAAATAAATAAACTTTACAAAGAAGAAGGAGAAGGAGAAGAAAGTAAAACTGTTACTAAATGCATTGCCACAAAGAAAACTCCAGGCCCAGGGGCGTCTGGGTAGCTCAGTTGGTTGAGCATCTTGACTTCAGCCTAGGTCATGATCCCCCCATTCTCGAGTTTGAGCCCCACGCCGAGTTCTGTGCTGACAGCCTGTTTCAGATTCTGGGTGTGTGTGTCTCTCTCTCTGCTCCTCCCTTGCTCATGCTCTGTCTCTCTCTCTCTCTCAAAAATAAATAAACATTAAAAAAAATTTTTTTAATTAAAAAAAAGAAAGAAAGAAAACTCCAGGCCCAGATGGCTTCATTGCTAAATTCTTCCAAATATGTAAGGAAGAAATTATACCAATCTAGCCCAAGTCTTCCCAGGAATAAATATTAGCCATCATTACTTTGTTGTGGTAGTTATTTTAATCCTAAGCAAGAAGTTTTCCATAAAAATTGCAGTCTCATCTCGGGTGTGCACGGGAGGCACGGAGCACCCCGGGAACCAGGGTGGGGGCTCTTACCATCCTCGTCTGTCTGGAAGGTGACCTCCTTGCCCTCCTTGCGTCCCTCCGGGTTCGTGAGGATGAGCCGCACGTGAACGTTCCGGTAAGGGGGCAGGTTCTTGATGGTGTAGCGGCTGACGCCCCGCTCCAGCTTCACACACTCCCGGACGGTCTGGTTGTGGCTGCTCCCCAGCGTGTAGTGATAGCACAGGGACACCGTGTACGTGTGACAGCGCGTCACGTTGTAGCCCAGGGGCTCCCACTGCAGCGTCAGCTGGCGGGCCTGGATCTCAGCGAAAGCCAGGCCTTTGGGGGCCCTCATGGGTTCTGGGGAACCCGGAAAGCAGAGAGGAGAAGGTTGAGGAAAGGGGCAGAGAAGTGGGGCAGGAGACAAAATATCAGTCAGCTGCTGAAATCACCCTCCCTTTGCCCTTAAGAGTTCAAGGGCCCGCCTAGTACAGGGAGTCCAAGTGCATGTGGTGGAGTCCGGCCAGGCCACACCCAAACCCTAGCTCTGCCGCGTGCGGTTGGCATCGTTGACTGAGTCCCTTCACCTCTCTGAGCCTTAGTTTCCTCACCCACAAAAGGGATTAATATGCCCTACCTCACGGATGGTTGTAAAGTTTAAGATAGTGTGTATAAAGCATGTGTGACAATCGCCAATACACAATAGGCCCTCAAAACTGTTAGCCATAATTTTTTTTTTTTTTTTAGTAACACAGTTCACCCCATCTTTAAAGATCATTTTGGACATCAGGACAGTCTAGACCAACCAGATGCTGTATTTTTCTTAATTTATTAATTCCAAGCCTGTTCTATAAAAGCTTATAGTGCGGTGCCTGGGTGGCTCAGTCGGTTGAGCGTCCAGCTTCGCCTCAGGTCATGATCTTGCGGTCTGTGAGTTCGAGCCCCGTGTTGGGCTCTGTGCTGACAGCTCAGAGCCTGGAGCCTGCTTCGGAGACTGTGTCTCCCTCTCTCTCTCTGGCCCTCCCCCGCTCACACTCTGTCTGTCTCTCTCTCTCTCTCTCTCTCTCTCCTGCTTCCGAGTCTGTGTCTCCCTCTCTCTCTCTGGCCCTCCCCCGCTCACACTCTGTCTGTCTGTCTGTCTCTCTCTTAAAAATAAACATTTTGAAAAATTTAATAAAAAAGCTTATAGTGATACATACAATAAAATATAGAAATCAGGATGATGGGGGAAATGAGAGCCAAATAATTAAATAATGCCAGGGAATGTTAGGAAAACAGAAATTCATGCCCTTAGGTCCTATGCAGGTCTAAAGATAAGGGTCAACTTAAGTGGTGAGTTCCCTAATAGCCAAAGCAAAAAGGGAAATACAATGTGTTACATAAGGGCAATAATAATAATGACAGTTAACATTTACTGGGGCCTTTGTATATGCCAGGCATTGCTCCAGAGGCTTTAAAATGCTTTATCTCATTTAATCTTCTCTGTAATCCAACACACAGGTGTCATTATTAGCCCTGTCATGTAGACACAGAAATAGCAGCACAGAGAGATTAGGTAACTTGCCCACAGTCAGTCCCACAGATGGGATACAGACTTGGACAGGCTGGCTCCAAAATCCATACTCTTAACCACCACTACCTGCCTCTCCAGGAGGAATTCACTGCCAACAACAACATCACACCAGTGCCACAGGACGCACAGCTCCCCCAGCACAAGGGACGAGCATGTCACTCTCCTTTGCAGCCTCTTGATAAATCCATGAAGCCACTTATAAAATGGTAAAAACAAAAACAAAAACAAACAAAAACATGAGGCTTCTGAAGCAAAGCCAGGCTGGAGCCCAGGTGCTCAGCCTCCAGTCCTACATCTGCGTTGACCAGCTGTGTGATCTTAAATCGCTGGGCCTCAATCTCCTCATCTAGAAAATGATGGAAGAAGCCAAGATTACTGACGATCCTTCTCTTCCTAGCACCCCAACTCCGTGAGATGCAGCTTCATTATCCTCAAGCTCCATGAGCATCAGCGAAGTGTCCCCAGTTAGAGGCTCTCAGCACATGCCTCAGGGAACAGATGAGGAAGTGCGGCAGCTTGGCCTCTTGACATGATTAATCATGACCCTATGTCCATGTTCGCAGGACTCATTTGCGCAGGACGCTCTTTACAAAGAAGCCGCAAAGGGAAACACCAGCCCAGGCTGCTCTTTACTCCGCAGGAGAGAAGTAGCAGAGCGCTGGAGGCTGGCCCAAGAACAGCACAGCACAAACTGCTATTTCCACCAGAGCTGTCCTTTCCTCCCTGGGCCATGGGCAAGTGGCGGGCTCCAGCCATCAATCAGGCCACCAATGGCATATTTCAGCACCTGCTAGGAGCAAGGCCCACCTCTTGACTTCTTACAGGGTCTGGCTTCCTTCTGCCCGCACAGGCAAGGCAGACCTGATCCTCACCCGACAGGGACATAAAGGGGCTGATTTCACTGCTCACCCACCCCAGGGGCTGCTGGCTGGAGCCCACTTACCACACTTATGCTTCCTCTCCCTTTCCTGGCCCTCAGAGATTTTCCTAATTTTTTTTCATATATATACACATATATAAAGTTTGTTTTTTTTATTTTTTGAGAGAGAGAGAGAGAATCCCAAGCAGACTCCGTGCTAAGCGTGGAGCCTGATGCAGGGCTCAAACCCACAAACTGTGAGGTTGTAATGTGAGCTGTTTCGTTCTAACCCACATTCTTAGCTGTTTAGAGTACAGTAGAGGGTGGATTTCGTGTGTGGCCCATTCTGCCGTCTTGTTCAGAGATCTTTGCTTTATTCCCTGACTTCCAGGCTCCAATCCTGGCTGCCCCACGTATACTGTCTGTCCCAAGGTGACAAAGTCCCACTGCTTTACGTGTCCCCTGCAGCTCTGCTCACAGCCCCGCCCCCGGGAACACCTGCCCCACATTCCTTTCCACCTTTGTAGGTTTGGCCAATGTACACTGCTTCCTTCGCCCACCTGTGGCAGTTAGAGAAAGGCACAAAAAGTTACATGTAAACTGGTGACACAGGCTGGGTCGGGACTATGACAGACAGGACAGAAAGTGTTCCATCCAAAAGGGACAGCTGCTCCTCAGCTCCAGACAATGTTCCCATGTAGGACTACAGGCTCAGGGTGGCCAGATTCTCCCGCCTTTAAAAAAAAAAAAGATTCTATTTTTAAGTACTATACTAAATGTAGGGCTCGAACCCACAACCCCGAGACCAAGTCACACGCTCCACCGACTGAGCCTGCCAAGGGCCCCAAGATCCTCCCATTTTTTAAGAGACTCCAGGATTTCAAACTTTTATGTGAAATGTCCAGATTTTTAAATGCTGGCAACCCGGAGCGCCTGGGTGGCTCGGTCGGTGGAGAGTCTGACTCTTGATTTTGGCTCAAGTCATGATCTTACAGTTGTGGGATCGAGCCCTACATTGGGCTCCACACAGGGCATGGAGCCTGCTTATGGTTCTCTCCTGCTCTGTCTACCTCTCTCCCTCACTCACATCTCGCTTTCTAGACAGATAGACAGATAAACAGACAGGTGGATAAATACTGGCAACCTACTCAGGTTTTTTGTAAAAACACCCTTGTATATCACTAAACAACTAACCTTGAGCCTGGAGGATGAAACCTCCACTATCATACTTCATACTTGGGTGCCTCACTCTGCAAAAGCTGGGTTAGACCCCATCCGCCTCCCTGGATTGAGGGGGGGGGAGGGGTCTTCGAAAAGAAAGCTCACTTTCCTCTTCCCTCCCTCCCCCCATCCTGATCAAATCTGGGAGGATCCAGGAGCTCAAATAGTTTGTTGACTACAGACGGATATGTTGATTGAGGGGTGTGAATTCATGAGTCTCTGTTTCCAAAAACCATCTGGCACGCAGACATTCTCTCTTCCGCTGCCAGCACATGCTGGCAAACAGAACTTGGGGACCTCAAAGCACCAGCCCTCTAAACATGGGGCTGCAGGCCACTCAGAGAACACAGGTCAAATGCACAGGAAACTAAGGAGGCGAACAGTGAATACTTGTTAAGTCACGACAAAAGGTGTTGATTTTAATAACGCTAATAAGGGTGCAACAACCCCAAAACATTCAACTGTTTCTCCCAGAAGGGGCTTTGGAGCCGGTGCGGGGGCTCCAAAGTGCAAACCCTATGGGCTCTCCAAAGTGCAAATCCCATCTCCACCTCTCATTAGTTCTGTGACTTCAGGCAATCTGCTTTGTTCCCTTTCCACCTGGACTGAAAAACTGAGATAATAACGCCTGCTTTGAAGAGCAAGTGGCAGAGTCACAGGCAAGGACGTGAGCCAGACCACCCAGCCTCCCATAATTCATAAACATGTGTGCACCAGGGTAAGATGGCGGTAGACACAGAAATCACTACAACCGTTTTTTTTTAAAGCAATATATGTCACAGCCCTTTCTTAAGCCACTCCTGACTATTTATCCTACAGAAATTACTCAGGGAAGGGGAAAAACACTATCAGCACCAAGTTTTTCAGTGCAGTATTATTTATAATAACAAGGATCTGGAAACCAAACAGTCCAGCAATATGGAGACACCCTATGGACCTCTATAAGCCAATAAGCATCATTATAAGCAAAGCACCACATGGTACACCACACAGCAAAGGAAGCAGACTACAGAACACTTTCTACATCCCAATGACAAGAGTGTAAAACCGTGTACCGCAGGCATATGGGCAGAGATCTGAAGAAGACAGAAAAACTGGGCTAGGATAGTGAAGTTTAGAGTGCTTTTTGGTTAAATGTCTTTTCCTGACATTATATTATTGTTTTTACAGTAAATCCTATTGCAGGAGGGGAGTTTCAGGGAGATGGGAGAGAGGATAACACAGCTGCCCAACAGCAAAACCCTTGCTGGTGAAGACGCTTAAGCCGGATGTGGGGTGGGTTGGGGGTAGGGGGCGGGGCAGAAGGTCAATGAAGGAAGCAAGTCATTAAGGAGGGGGCGGGTGGACGGGAGGCGGGATGAGTTGCTTGGGTTCTGTCTGTCCGGTCCCTGCCCAGCTCCCATCCTCGGCAGCCTGTGTGACCACGTGGGCACCCAGACCATGACAGCAACTCTGTCACCGTGGGCTGCTGTGGTTTCAAACGCTTCCCTAGAAATCAGGATATTCTGACTTTGGCTCTGATTCTGCTGTTGACTCACCAGGTAGATCTGGGCAAGTGACTAACTCTCCAAATCTCAGCTTACTCATCTGTAAAATGGGAATTAGCTACCGCTGTCGCCATGAAACCTGGGGTCCTGACCCCAGTCCCCTCCCTGGGTTTCAGCTGCTTCATCTGTACGCTAAAGGGGAATAGAACAGAGAGGGTCT